ACACTACCTCGATCTTCTCATAAACCTCTTTGAACATGGATGGAATGACAAACATTCTCTCCACAGCCTGGATTTCCTCTCGAGTGGGCCAGATGTCCCTGAGGAAAACCTCTTTGCCTTCAGAGCTCATCGCTACAGGGAATAGAGAAAGAAAGAGGACAGCAGTATAATAACCTAAACTATATACAGACGCTTCAGTTTAAAGCTCATCAACACACTTAGAGCTGCTGGAAGTGACCTGCAGGTTGTCTCGTCTCTTTCTTTCAAATATCACTCCTATGTATTTAGACCTGGACCTGTTTCCACCAGCCTTCTATAACTAAAAGGCTTCAGCTGAGTATCTCAAATGTTTTGGGTTAGTAAGTGAAAGCTCGGAGATCCAACTCAAACCTGTGGGTGAAAATGGAGGAAACAACTGGAAGTGTCCAGATTACTCAAACCTTCCAATCATTGGATGCATCAAAACCAGACAAATTTTAGTTCTTAGCAAATATTTCAGGTTGGGGGATTCAGATATTCTTTAGATATTTTAAGTTTTGTCTAAATGCCACAGAAACAAAAAGCAGGCAGAGATGGTGACCAGCAGGTCAATCAGTGACTTACCAATGGGCTCATTCTCAAAGTCTATTCTCACTGTGCCAGCTAGTGCATAGGCGATGACGAGCGGTGGGGAAGCCAGGTAGTTGGCTCTGGTGTTGGGATGCACTCGTCCTTCAAAGTTTCTGTTCCCTGAAAGGACGCCTGCAGCGATCAGATCCCCCTGAGGCACAGAAACACCTCAATCACATGACACACAGGAGGCGCTCGCTCATGGTGACTGAACACGGAGCTGCTTCAAGTCAACAAAACGTGTGTTAGGAACAAATAAACGTCACGGGAGGAAGGAGGAGGAGCCTCCGATGTAAGCCGTTAGTACCTGGGTTATGGCCTCCACCACGGGCTCTGGGAGCGGCCCACTGTTGCCTATACACGTCATGCAACCATAGCCAACAACCTCAAAGCTGCCAGAAGACACAAACGGATTATTAGACAGCTGCACGTCACACACTCTGTCACTCTGTTACTTCCTCAGATGTAAACACACAGGGGCGCCACACGGGGGCGCTTCAGAATCAAACAGCAGTTATGGAGAGACATTAATGCACTGATGCTGAGCGCTCAGAAATAATCAAAGAAAAGAGGCAAAACTCTGTGTTGTTAAAACACCTGAAGTCTTTTGAACGTGAACAACATTAAAAACAATTATTGAAACGTTCACTGATCACTGAGCCAACACAGCAGCTGATGTCCCCATTCTGCTTTAAAACAAGGACACTGGATCCTACCAGGTCAGAGGTGTGAGTGAAATAATTGTCAATCAAAACAAACATGTTTCCTTCTGCACACAACGTGGGATCGTTTCAACAACAAGCAGCTTACCCGAGCTGAGACAGGTAGTCCATGACGCCGCTCTCTCTCAGGTAGTAGGTCACCACTCCACTGCCGGGCGACAGGCTGGTCTTTATGTACGGCTTCACACTCAAACCACACTCAACTGCTTTTTTTGCCAGGAGTCCTGAGAGAAGACAGACTCTCATTCAGTCACTGTCAGAAAGCTGTGTGACAGTGACGCTCAGCACACCCACCTGCTCCAAGCATGACAGATGGGTTGCTAGTGTTGGTGCAGCTTGTGATGGCAGCGATAACCACCGAGCCGTGACTCAGCGCGTACTCCTTCCCGTTGAACTGGAAGGGGGCTGTAGCGTTGTGGTGCTGCGGAGCCACCTGGAAGCCCTTGAAGCCTTGCTGAGGCGAGAATCAGAGAAACGAACGTTTTCAGAGCTTCTTATGTGCTACAAGCAGTGATGCTGCTGAGCTAATGCTAAGTGTCAGCAGCCTCCACCTGTAAATGTGCAGGAACGCACCTTTGCTTCCAGACAAGCTTCAAAATCCTTTTTCATGTCAGACACGGGAATTCTGTCCTGAGGTCTTTTGGGACCGCTGCAGCAGGGAACCACCGTGCTCAGATCCAGTTCTACCACCTAAGGAGGACAGACACATCCCATAATACTCCAGCTTTATTCTTATTACATTTGCATCATGTCACAATTTTCTGTTGCCATTAAAAAACAAAACAAAAGCTGAAAACAGAGTTTCTCATGAACACATCGAGTGTTTTCTGGGTTCAGCAAACAGAAAGGAAGTCAGAGGCTGACCTGAGTGAACTCTGGATCCTGACACACATCGTTGTAGTCTCTGAAGATGGCCACCGCCTTCAGGTACTGTGTAATGTATGCTAACTTCTCTGGCTCCCGTCCTGATGTTAGACAAACGAGTCGCATAAACAAAAAGAATCG